TACATCAATTGAAATTTCCTTTTATCTCAGGTATCTGGATTCGTCTTCGTCATTACCCGATCTTGATATGGCGCACTCAAACCCAGTCCAAGCATGAATGGATGTGGAAGATGCAGCAAAGAAATCTTCCACCTTGATTATCAGGATATATCTTCTCGTCATCCATAACCCGGTGTCCCCATCGTACCCAGTTCTTTGGTCAATATTCGTTGATATCTGAGTTCTCTTTTTTGTTAGATCAGTATTTCTAGGAATGAGCTTTGATTATGGCGCTCAGATTGCCGCACATTATCCACTGCATAGCAGCCATTTGATTGAGAGACGCAGTATGTAAAATAGCGAAATTTTTGTGTATATAGTGTACATGATACGTTAGCAATGATTGATTATCCCTTGCAGTCTGTCCTTTCAAGTGTAGTGTTTTACTTATGTGGCTGTAAGATATTGTGTTTCTAATCGCGCAATATCTGGTATGCTTGTATGTTTTGTTTTACTTACTGCAGTAATCGCGATGGTCGTGATGCAAATCCTTATCAAAGACTAGTCGTGGCACTCTGCTGTTTTCTCCGCTCGAGCTTGCATCACGTTTACGCTTCAGGACTTTAGAATCATAGTTGCGTCCTATATTTTTGTTGAGATGTGTTTTAGCGTTTGTAGCAGTTCTCTCTTGATCTCATTTCATTTTTTTTTTTCGCGAAAAATCGCCACTTACATAAGGGATTGGAATTTTATCAATTTGCTAAAGAGATTTAGTCTAGTACTAATATTGAAAGTGATTTCTTTCTTAATAAAAGTTAAATATTTGGATATCGAATTGTGTTATACATTATTGCTTCGCTTAGAAATTCTCATTTTTCTGTGACGAGTTGAAGACTAACCATTAAATAGTATTCACGCGCAAGGAGAATGAGAAAGAGTATTGCATATCGTTGAGATTATTCGCTTTCTCAAATACGATAATTCCAAAACTGCCGGCATTGTGGCAAAAGCGCTCCAGACGCCTTTGACTCGCGAATGAGGACATCTATCGCAGTAAGGGCATCTTTATACTCTATAAGGATCGGCCGATCCTATTGAAGCTTATGAGCGCAATAAGGATCGATCAAGGTTGCGTTGTATCAACGATCGACGTGAGCTGGAGTTTAGCCCAGCTTTAAATTATGCGGTGCTTTGTTTAGGGAGTTTGGCTTGCATTCCTGTAAAACTCAGGGTCGACTCCTTGTGGAGCATGTGGACCAGCGAGGAAATTTCCAGGCATATATTTCAACTCCAACTATAAGTTTTCATGCACTTTATGTCTAACTAATGCTTTTATTGCCGTTTTAATTTATAGTAACCTGCACGATGCGATGAGCTTTTTTATTCCACCTTCATACATTTCACCTTTTTTCGTTGAGGGGTTCAATCTTGTTTGACTTAAAGTCTTAAGAATTTGAGACATGTTGCAGAAAAAAACTAAAAACAAGGTATGCAACTTGTGTTCATTAGTTATGGTGGGGTTCAAGTAAATATGGCTGAAATTCTCATCCCTTTGATCTTGACTACGCGCCTCGCTGGCGCACGTCGCACAACGATTTCGAACTGCTTACGAAACCTTAGCAAACGAAATTCTGCGATGCTTGCAGAAGAAAATCCAACTAAACTCTAGAGAATAAAGGCGG